AATTCATCACGAAACTTTCCAATCCCTAACCTGGCATTCAGTGGTATAATATTTTTGTGTCGGAATTGGATGGGATTCAAAAAAGACAAATTCTTTCCAAAATAAGGAATTCCATGATATTGAAACTATTTCAATCCTTTTTTTGGACAGAATGGAATTCGGAAAGTCCTTAATTGAATTCCTGGCAATCCCGTTTTAATTCTTTTCAATCTTTTTTCGTTTGCTGGGAGGTTTTTTCCAATAGCATTGTACATCTGTAGGAGATGGATCTTCAGAACGCCTGTGAATCCACATCACAAAAGCTATTGCGTGGTTGCAACCGCCTATAGTAAAATTAATTATATAAGTTAAATAATATTTGTTATAATACACATTATGTAAACTTATATACAAAATCATAGATTTATAGATCAAACCTACCACTTGAAGCAGCACAATCTTGACATTTCACATTAATAATAATTGATTCATTTTCTTCATTAACTGTTACAATAACAGAATATGCTTTATTTCGAACTTGGTGTTCAGGACAAACTTTGGCTTTAACTGTACATATATAATTTTCTCCTTTTACACAAACATAACCTATTGCGAAAGGAATTGCATAACCTATTGGAATCTCCATAGTTTTGTCGAGAAGAACTAAAATAACAACAAATAAATGTGTAAGACATATTAACAATATTGTAAGAGATAAATATAATCAAATTTTAATATATTTTCTTATGTTAAAAACTATAACTTACGCGTTTTGGCATTGCAGACCTCAGCAGAGCAGCATTAAAGTTGTCATTATTTTTCACATGTTTACATACCATAAACATGTCTATTGGTAAATTATTGAAATTACTTTTTACACAAAGCCCGAATCAACCATTTTTTACTTTATCTCAAGAAACTCGAATAAAAGTATAAACTCTTTACTTCGCTGTATAACACCGTCTCAAACTTCTTGTCGTGACGTCACATCACCTTCGGTTAACTTCGGGCGTTTCCGGGGCATTATCGGATAGTTTGAATATTCATGTTTTAAAACGCTTTAATTATTAATAAATTCACGTTTAAAAAAAAATTATTTACAATACAATTTATGTATAAACTATCATATTATGATGTTTTTAAAAAATCGTTTTGTACTCAATTGCTTAACCCCGTTCTATCTTACAAGATATAAATTCTCAGATACTTGTATAGCATTAAATTGTGTGGCGCTTACCAATAAGATAACCATTAACTATGATAGAATAGAGTGACATCTTTTTACTACAAATAGAATGGGATAGCTACGTTTAAAAAATAACTATTTTTCTTAATCTCATAAACTGCTAATTCTGACTTTAGTTGTTGGATAGAATGCTTAATCCATTATGATGTCTATTATAAGGTCCATTATATGATATATATATTGTTGGAAAAATGCATATTAAATACCAATTCTTGCTGAGGATCTATATCGGTTTCTAATTCTTGAAATTCTTCTACCGTTTTCAATAGTAAACCATTTGGTCTTTTATAAAAATTATTTCGCATTGTCAATGTATGATGTTCTTTCAAAGTTTTTATGTTAGATAATATCGTAGTATTTTGCTCAATCACTTGCCTACAACATAAAATAATTGTACATGCATTCATAATAAAATAAAAATATATACCTATTACATATTATACCTAAATATATGCTATAAACTTCTCATTGTCAGATATGTAACATTTAAAAATTAGTAATATTTACGTACCTCAGAAGTTTAATAATTTCACATTGGTTCGTGTCATTAAAAATTTTTGTTCTGCAACAATCTGAAAAATGAGTCAAATTTTTTATTATTTTATATTTGTCTTTTTTTGGAAAGTTTTAAAAAAAGAAAAATAATATGAATTATTATATAGAAGAAATAGAATATTAAATATATTGAAAAAAATTAATGTATAAATTTAAATTAGTTTTATATATGCTACGTTCATAAATAATTCGTTTATACCAATCTTTTATATATAGTATATTTTTTAAATAAATTCTTTGAAAGTTAATCATGTTTGATTTTATAAACTTCATTTATAAGTTATAAAAAATTTTTAATTAAAACTCTAATTAAAAAGAAACTTTAATTATAAAATTCCAATCGAAACATAACTCTAATCTTACCAGATTCCTGAAAGTCCTTGCAAATGACTGTCATTTGCAAGGACTTTCAGGAATCTGGTAAGATTAGAGTAGAGATAGGCGAACCCGAGTTTTTTTTGTCGAACCGAACTCGAACCGAACTCAATATTAAGTTCGCGAACTCGAACCGAACTCGAACTTTTTTTTATAAGCTTTGAACTTGAATTCGAACTCGAATCCGAACTCGAACTTTTCTTTATAAGCTTCGAACTCGAATTCGAACTCGAATTCGAACTCGAATCCGAACCAAACCACGAATTCAAACTTAACATATTTTAAGCTTTACGTTAATACATTCAACTGTTATCTTATTCAATGAAACTTTAGGCAGATCTAAAAATATTTTACTGTTTAGAAGTAATAGAAATCTTAACTTCATGTTTAAAATATGATTAAACAGAGAACTATATTTACTATATTGAAACAGATACTGATTCTAATTTTGCATAATTTCGGATATCCTTGATTTAAATAATAAATTAAATCAAGAACACACACAGTAAGAAACTTTTAAAATATCATAAAATAAAAGATCATGAAAAATCAGAACTGCCAAGAGAGGAGTCAGGTAGTCTATTGTGTCTTTCACGTCTTCCATTAGATCCTCTGTAATTGTGGTTAGTATTAAAAGCTGTTCGTCTATTTCTTCTCTTTTGGCGTATAGTGCTGTGTCCAGCTGTATCCGTCTCGTGACGTTCGTCATCAGTTGTTCGTTGTGGTATAACGATTTTTCTAAGGCCTCCATGTGGCCTATCGTGGCATTTATCACCTTTAATTGGCTTTTTGCGGTGTGCCGTAGAGTCTGTTGCTGATTTTGTATCAGTTCAAGCTGCTCCTGTATGTGTTTTGCGTCGTCGGCATCCATAGTGCCGAACAGCGTTTTGCTGATCGTGCCGATCGCGTCTATTAACCCTCGCTTATTGTTATTTGTTTTATATATAGTCTGTAATCGCGTTAACAATTGCGTTAATTTTTTGTTATTTTTCTCTATCGTATGGAGAATGTTTTTGCACGTCTGCTGCGTGTCCTTTGCGATTATCGTTTCGCATACTTCTTCGGCTTGCTGTAGAAATTCCTGAAGTTGGTGATATCGGTTTCCTAGGGCTGCTACGTCGATTTTAATCGCTAATTTCCAAGTAGCTTCTACCTGTTGCAATTGTCCGGTTCTCTCAAAGTATATTCCCGGCTCGCTGCTGAATTGTCGTATCTCGTACGATGGTGCTGTCTCAGGTTTCGCTTTTTTCGTGAAGTGCTGGACGACGATCAGCGTCCTGTAAGATAAGGACTCATGTTACCTTTCTTCGAATTTTTACCTTGGCTTGATAATGCCTTCTCCTCGCGTTTTTTCTCTCCTCGCGCGTTTAGTTGCTCTTGCGACGTGATTCAGAGAGAGTACTTTTCGTTTGCGCTAATTGTGAAATGAGGTGCCGTCTGTGTAACCGTTTTTTTTGTGCGACGCATGTTGGCGCACGTATTGGCTCCGCGCTGCTCGTGCGGGTGCCGTAAGTGAGGGTGCCGCGCTTAGTGCGCGGATTGCGGCGAATTTGGGTTCGGGGCCGACGTCGCCCCCTCCCTCGTACGCAGAAGCGTTGCTAACGCTCCCGGACACCTGGGTGCATCTTCTCCACCCCCTGGAGGTCACCTTGGATGTGGCCACCGGACGTCGTGTGGTGCGACGTGTTTGATGTTCGGTAAGTACTTATTGTCTAATTTTCGTTAGTTTTTACTATCGCCTATTTTCTATTGCCTTATTTGCTTGTTTTTGTTCTTCTACGCTGTTTTTACTGTTCTATAAAGGGCTTTAATCGGTTTACGTGTACTCGCGTGGTTTTCTGTCCCTTTTTGATCGTGTAATTGACGTCTGAATGTTTTTCGATTACTTCATATGGTCCTATCCACGGAGATTCTAATTTTTTCGATCTCCCTCTACGCACCGTTTCGTCGTGCAAAAGAACTTTGTCTCCCACTCGGAAATTAATTTCTTTTGTCTTCTTATCATACGTCTCCTTGGCCTTAGATTTTTCGTTTCGCAAATGTTCCTTCGCAACTCGTTGTGTCGCTCTTAATTTTTCTTTTAGCTCTTGCGCGTAATCGTCATAAGTATACGTTGGTTTCGGTGGTTGCGACAGTGCCGTCGGTAGTGTCGCTCGGTGCCCGTATACTAATTCAAAGGGTGTAAACCCGGTCGCTGTGTGTGGCGTCGTGTTATACGTGAACATTGCGTATGGCGTCCATTCGTCCCAGTCTGTCTGGTCCGCGTTAATATAATGTCGCAAGTATTCGGCTAATGTTCTATGAGAGCGTTCCAATGCTCCATTACTCTCGGGATGGTAGACCGTTGTTTGAATTTTTTCTATCTTCAATAATTTACACATGCTTTTAAATATCTCGCTAAGAAAATTCGTTTCTCTATCCGTCAGTATTTTGTCGGGGATACCGTATTCAAAGATAATCTTTGTGACGAATTCTTTCGCGATTGTATTCGCTTCTTGATTAGGTACGGGTATTGCCTTACTGAATTTCGATAAATTATCCTGAAACGTGAGGATATATTTATTTCCGTTTTCGGTCACCGTCAGTGGTCCTACTATATCTAGAGCACATTTTTCGAACGGTTTGTCCGCGGTGTCTGTTATTACTAAGGGTGCTTTATTTTTTCGCGATAACTTGTTCTTCTGACATAGTTCGCATTTATTAATGTAATCTTCGACGTCTCGAGTTAATCCTCTCCAATTATGCGTCAACCTTATTCGGTTTATGGTGCGTTCCACACCCTGATGTCCTACAGGTGCATCATGGTATTCGTATAATATACGTTGCTTCTCTTCTTCTGTATATTTTCTTTCGCTCTCCTCTTCGTTATTCTCTTCCTTCTCTATCTTGTTGATATCTGTCGGCACATGTCGACTCAGCGCATCCGCGTTTCTATTCTCTTGACCGGCCTTGTGTACGATAGTGTAATCGTATTCTTCTAATTTCAACCTCCATCGGATTAATCGTGATCCGCGGGGTCCTTTACGTTAAATAGCCAAACCAATGATTATTATGGTCTGTCACTATGGTAAATTTTGTTCCATAAACGTATGGTCGGAAGTGTTTCACCGCCCATACTATCGCTAGTAATTCTTTCTCGGTAGTATTGTAATTTTGCTCGGCTTTAGATAGTACTCTGCTCGCATACGCCACGAGTTGATCTTGACCTATCTTTCCCTGTGACAGTATGGCTCCTATTGCATAATCTGACGCGTCGGTCGTTACTACAAATTCTTGGGAGAAGTCCGGGTATTTTAATACCGGTGCTGTAGTTAGTTTTTCTTTAAGTATTTCAAATGCGTTTTGTTGTTCTGCGTTCCACTCGAATTTGATATCTTTTCTGGTCATTTTTGTGAGTGGCTTGGCGATTGCTGAAAAATCTTTAATAAATCTTCGATAATATCCGGCTAATCCTACAAAAGCCTGGATGTCCTTTACCTTTGTTGGTCTCGGGAAGCTTTTTACTGCTTCTAATTTTGAAGGGTCTGGCGAGATTCCGTTTTCTGTTATTACATGTCCGAGATACGTCACTTCTTTCCGAAGGAATTCGCATTTATCGGGCTGTAATTTCAAATTATATTTTCTCAGTCTTTTTAGCACTTCAATTAGTCTCTTATTGTGCTCTTGTAAACTTGCTCCGTATACTATTATATTGTCTAGATAGACTAAGCATTGTAATCCTACTAGTCCTGCTAAAACGGCTATTATTGCTCGTTGAAATGTCGCTGGGGCATTTTTCAATCAAAAGGCATTCGATTATACTCGTAATGTCCGTATTGTGTCGAGAACGCTGTTTTTTCTTTATCTTCTTCTTCCATCGGGATTTGATGATATCCCGAGGCGAGGTCTAGCGTGGTAAAATATTTTGCTTTTCCCAGTTGGTCTAGCTAGGATATCGGTTATGTTTGGCAATGGGAAGGAATCTCCCTCCGTTAGGTCGTTCACAAACCGAAAATCTATTACCACTCTCAGTTTTAATTTTCCTGATGCGTCTCTTTTCTTCGGTACTACTAGCAACGGCGCACTCCACGGACTCGTGCTAGGTCTAATAATTCCGTTTTTCAACATCTCTTTCACTTGTCTATTCACTTCTTCCTTGTGCTTTTTTGGCAAACGGTACGGTCGGACGTTGACCGGTACGCTGCCCGCCTTCGTGGTAATCTTATGCGCGACGATATCAGTGCATGTCAGTGGTTCTCCTTCCACATGCAATACATCGCTGTAATCTCTGCAAATTTCCATAATGGTTTTCTTTTCTTCTTCGTTTAAGTGTTGTGTGCGTATCAATTTTTCGACTTTTTCGCTACGCGGCATTGTTTCTTCTGCTTTGTCTACTTGGTTTACTTCTATTTCTTTTGCTTCTTCTTGCTCTAAATCTTCTAATGTTACTTGCGGCATTAGCATTTCGACTGTCTTCTCCGTCGTATTTAGTATGCTTGCTGGACATAGAAAGTTTTCTGGCATCACTAGGCAATTTCCTATGAATACTCCTGGCATTGTCTCTTCTGCCTGTATTATTCCTAGTGAATTTTTATCGGTCGCGACTTGCACTATTGTCTCGCTTCGCGGTTTCAAAACCATTTTCTTATACGGATATAATTTTAATGTGCTATTCCCTATGCGTATTGAGCTCGACTCGTAACTATATGACGCTCGATGTTTCTTTATAAAATCTACGCCTAGTATTCCGTCGTATTCTATCGGAAAATCATCCTTAACGACATATATCGTGTGCTTGATCTTTCTATCTTTCAAGTCAATAGTTGCTGTAAATTTTCCAATCGTATGGGCTTTATGACCTGTTACTCCTGTAAGGGCCATTTTATCCTCTTCTATCATTGTTTCGCCTTTCAAATGTTTTACCTTTACTATTCGCTCTGTGCAGTCGGTTGAAGGGGATAGCTACGAGCTACGGAAGCGCTCCGGTGAGAGAATAGTGAACTCAGGGTGGAATATTTTCCTATTCAACTAGGCTTATTATTATTAATATAATGAATGAGAGCAGCTATATGTTTACATTTTCCGCTCTTGTTGTAAACACATGTGCATGAAACAAGAGTTACCTTACGATCAGCATCAATCTAGAAATATTTACATAAAATTGTTGATGTAATGTACATAGATTCATGTAATTAATAGAAATATTTTTAAAGTTACATTTAACTTTGTACGGTATGGTTGAAATGACACTGAAGTTTGTCTTATGACTTGAGCTTCAATAAGGTAACTTTGATTATTTCGCCTACATTCCTTAACATCGCAAACATGACCAGCATTAACTAGTTGCTTCCCTTTTGGAATAGTTTCCGGTTGAAAGAGTATTTCATGGGTAACTTTTTGAAATCCAGTTGTTATCACAATCTCCATTTTTTATCCATAACAAATACAGCAGTTGCTGCAACTTGGAATAGAAATCTGGAAAAATATTTTTTTTTTTCAATATAACGTATGAAAAAGTAACTTTATTGAATCTACATTTTTTGCTTTTTATTATTGACATTTTTTAAAGCAATATTTAATTAGCAGTAGTTATTATTTATTGTTTTCTGATATAAAAAATAGGAGTTCCAGTAATTAAAGTGACATAAATACCGCTGTGCAATACCGCTGTTATATAGTCCTCCAATTATATAGTGTGGCGATTATCGCCATATGAACTGGCCGGCGAAACAGTCGAATTGAAAGTAATAACGAGGTCGAAAAATAGCGAAAGACGTTAGATAAGAAAAACATAAATACAGGCAACAATAAGCGGGAACGTTACAGGCATAACACAAACGATAACTAATAACATCAAAATAGTAACAATCATAGATTATGCGCGTATAGCAATTTTTACTTACCGAAATTATTAACAGTAAAATGTAAAAAAATACACTGCATCTATTGCACAAGAAGCTTTGGTAATAATCACACGTTAAAGTTGTTTTTTCTATTTTTTTTTGCAAACTGCCTGTAAACATATCTCGTTGTTTCCACTTTTATTTGCATGGCGATAGCGGTAGATGGCGCGACCTGAAACGCACGGAGCGAATTGACACGGCCGCTCCGGTATCGAACAGTAAATTTATTTTTTCGCGCTTCGCTTCTCGCATGGACAGAGTGATTAAGTCCAGCCCTGCATGCTTTCGCGGCTTGTTCGTCAGGTGTGACACCTGATACTCTAACGCCGGTCGGCGCTGCTTTGTGTCCTCTTTATTTTCCTCATCGCTATTCGCGGCTGAATTACTGTCTTTTTTTCTCGGGCCATTCGTTTTCGGGTGAAAATTTTTATTTTGTCCTCGCGGATTATTAGGTTTGTTGTGATTCGTCCTTTCTTTATTTGGTCGACCATTTAACAGCCAACATTCTTCGCGCATGTGTCCTGCCATCTTGCAGTAATTGCAGACTTTATCTATCGCGTTTACGCCTGGTGTCCTATCAGGTTTCGGTAAGGAGAAACGGTTCGCATATCTATTGGTACGACATTCCCTTCCAAGGTGCCCGTATTTTCCGCATTTTTGGCATTGTAATATCGATCGGTTATCGCGCGGTTGCGGCGAGTACGCATAATTATTTTTGGGACGCGGCGGAATTCTACTCGGCCCGTTTACTTTTTCTTCGGCGCTCGCTCCGGCAATCGCTTCTTGCAATGTTGCGAAATGCTGAGCTCGGACAAGTAACTTGATCTCGTCTCTCAATCCTAATTGAAAATTCTGTAATGCCTGTTGTTGAATCGTTTCTAATATAGTTCGCTTGCTTTCTATGGTGTGATTTCTTCCCTCTATCATGGAGTCGTATAGCTCCATCGCTAGCTTATCGGCTCTTAATCCCTTGAATGCTCTTGCATTTTCTCCGGGTTTTTGCTTGAGTGTATTAAACTCTAGTTGTAAGTGTGTTGTGCTTTTGCGGCTCAAATAGCAAACTTCTAATTCCTTCTTTAATTGTGCGAAATCTCTTATCTCTCGCGTTTGAAAATCTATTATCGCTCTTCCTTTTAGCTTTGTGCATAGCACTGCTTCTAATAGCGTTCCTTCTTCCATGGGATTTATGTCTTTATTGCATATGACGCGGCGCTTAAGAATTCTTGTAATTTACTCGAGGTTCCGTCGAACTCAGGTATCATATCTCGTGCCTCTTTTAATCGTAGATATCCGATTGCGCGCTCCGCTTGGTTCCGAATATCGTATGACGTTCTTCCGTACGTTACTTCGAACGGGAGGTTACTTGGCTCGCGTCTCGCGTGAAATTCGCGGCGTTCAGGATTCGCCGTTTCTAGTTGATTTACGCGATCTTGTAAGTTGCGGATTCCGTTTAATATCTCGTCGAGAATGGAATCTCTATCGTCTCGCGGCGGTCCGGCCCGTGCGGGTATCCGGTTACGGTGATTCGCCGGGGTGCCTCTTTGTGATAGCACTTGATTAAGACGGTTTATTTCTTCGTCTATTTCCTCTGGGGTTATCGGCGCGTTATCATTTACGTTATTCGCGTCGTGCTATTTGTTGCTTCCGCCATCTCGATTACGTTCACGTGTCTCGGGGCAGAATAATATTCTTGCGGGTCAAATACGCTGCTATCATACGAGGTCAATGAGAACTCTCGTCTGTGTGTTCGCCTACTGGTCGTACTGTTCGCGTCTTCGGATTGTGCGTGCGCGTGTGAGGGGTGGAGTCTATTTTCGTCGGGGCAGTTATTTTGTCCTATTACTCTCGCGTCTAAAATTATAACGGAATCGTCGAATTGTTCGCGTTCGATTACGCTGTTCGGGTGTAATTCCGGTTCTGATTCGCTTTCGCTTGAGTAGTATTCGTCTAAATTTCTACGCACGGTTTCGCGATTATCGCTTACGCCTTCTTCGGTTGTTTGCACGGGGCTTAACGGTCTATTTCTACGCGCTCGTCGCGACGTCTCGCTATGGAGCCACGATTGGTTTAGTTCCGCAGGTGGATTTTCGTTTTCTGACATTTACGGTGATTGCGCTTTACATAATTTGCTTAATCGACTTACATTACGGTCGCTAGTCGCATGTTGCTGGTCGGTGCTCGTGCCGCCTTATCTATCGGTGAGCCTCCGTTGAGGTAGGTCGGCGCCTTCTCGGGTTACGCTGCTCGCTTGTCCCTCGTCGGCCGCTACAGTGTTGTCCGCTGTTTTTGAATCTGGCTGCCTGTGTCTCCGTTGAGGATGTTGCACTGCCTCACTGATTCACTTATTTTTCTGTTTCAGCTGCCGTTCCCGTCCTGCCAATGGATCCCTCACGCTGCCACCATTTGTTGTGCCCTCCTTTTACGGCGGGACACAAGGAGATCGTTTATCCACGGAGGAGGCGGGATTGATTATCAACATTTTTCAATAAATGACAACTTTAATTAATCCACTCTGAGTTACAATGATCATTCGCGTTAAACGCCCGTTACTGCTCTGCTCCCTGACTCCGATTGCCCTCTCGTCTCCTGTTGTCGCTTCCTTTTCAATCCTCGTCTTGTCCTTCAATATCGCTGAGTTGCTCGATCGTATCTGGGCCGATCGCGCAACTCATCTTTTGCTGATTCGGCGTTGCGTAATTCTCTCGGGCTTTCGCGGTCGCGTTCCCTATTGTTATTCTCGGTCTTTCTTAACACTATTCTTATTTTATTATAACATTTTAATTGGGGCCGCAACAAAAGAAAGAAATAGATTTACTATAGTAAAGTCATTGTGAACATATACAGTAAAGTAAAAAAAAACTCGCAACAAGTTACTAAGAAAAAATAAAAAATGAGTGACAAAAACATCATACCAGAAACCGATAGCGACGACCAACTAACAGCTCTAGAGATAGCACAAATTACAAAAAACACGATAGAAAATCTCTTTATGCAACACGTGCATGGAAAGTGCCCCATTACGCACGCTACGCGTGCGTGATAGACCACTTTCCAGGCACTTGCAACATAAAATAGGGAGTGTAAGTCGTGTGTAAAGATGAAAATTCCCGAAAATCCAAAGAAAAATATACAAATACATATAACAAGTTTATACAGTGGCCAATTACTAAAAAAACAAAATCATTCTCGGAAAACACAATATTAACATATCTCGCAGAATTATCAAAAACACATAAGCCATCCACCTTATGGGCAACTTACTCAATGCTCAAAACGACTCTAAATATTAAGAACAATATTAATATTAATAAATGTGATAAACTCATCCCATTCCTGAAGAGACAGTCATATATGTACGTTTCAGTTAGTTTGGGAAGATTATGTCTGAGTATCGCTGTGGTAATTTGCGAGTGTTTCCGCGCGCCGTGAGATGTCGTTAAGAACATGTCAGAAATAAGAATACTCTAGTGGAAAAGACATACATAATGATGGGGAAAATAAGGAGAGTGTTGACAATGAGTCGTGCAGGAATTAAATTTCTCACTATATTCCCGCACTCAGTGCGGGAATACAGTGAGAAATTTCTCGTGTATGGAATTGGCTATTTGTCGCACAGATGGCGCGCGCGGAATGGGCCACTTTTCACGCACATGTAATATAATAGTTATTTATATCACACGTGCGTGGAAAGTGGCCCATTACGCGCGCGCCATCTGTGTGACAAATAGCCAATTCCATACACGAGTCAAAACAGTGCGGTAATGTTTACATTAATGTTTACACAGTTTCGAAGAAACAGTGCGGTAATGTTACATTACCGCACTGTTTTGACTCGTGTATGGAATCGGCCATCCGTCGCACAGATGACGCGCGCGCAATAATGGGCCACTTTCCACGCACTTTGTAATATAAAATAGGGTGTGTAACACGTGCGGGATGAGAATTGAACACTCGTGCGGGTGATCGCACTCGCCTTCGGCTCGTGCGTCCACTCCACACTCGTGTCCAATTCTCAACTTCCCGCACTTGTTACACAAATACCATTCTGTTAGATAATCTAAACCCTTCAATTTTGCATTTAGAACACAGATTTAAAGACATGTGACTTTTATGATTTAAAATTAATGCTCTTGCTGGTGCATCTGCAATAAAGCATCTATGCGTAGAGGAATTTTTTTTATCATTAATGGATATTCCACCATTTTGTATCACTTGTAGAACTTCATTAACAAATTGTTCCATAAATTTATGAGAATCACATGGTTTCGATTTTCCTATATAGACTCTAGCTATAATAGGTTTACTATTTCTTATATTTTTTATTCTATATTGTATTGGCCACAATTGTAACAATCCATTCAACGTTGCACCATCTGTGCTTAAATCTATAACTATTTTAGTAGGTAATTGGTTTACAGCTATATGCATGCCAAGTTTTGTTTCAAAGTTATTTCAAAACCAATATGAATTATATTTCAAAACCCATATTGACCTGAACCTAATGGAACAATATTATAATTTAACTTTTTTCGTGTCCCTAGAAAAGTTCTAGTTGAACATGGTAAGGTAATTATGCATAAAAAGACCTCACCTGCCAATGACCTTGACCTTGACATATGTTGTCAAGGTCATCCGCCTGAGTGACCTTCAGAAGTTTTTAGCTGGCGGTCGTTATTCGTTAAAAAGTTATTAACAAAAAAAGTTTCGAAAATATAGCAGTTATTTTCAGTATTGGAAGGCATAAACGACTAATATTACGTTTTTTTTTTGGGCAGAGAATACTTTATTATGCGTGAAAGTCACTGCTTTACCAAAACACAACATTTAAAGCAGTAAATTGTTGATAAATTAAAGTCTTTCTTTAATGCAGTGAATACTTTATTTCGCGAGAAAGTCGCTGCTTTACCAAAACACAACATTTAAAAAAGTAAATTGTTGATAAATTAAAGCCTTTTTGTTAATGCAGTAAATACTTTATTTCGCGAGAAAGTCGCTGCTTTATCAAAACACAACATTTAAAGCAGTAAATTGTTGATAAATTGAAGTCTTTTTGTTAAAGCAGAGAATACTTTTCGCGAGAAAGTCGCTGCTTTACCAAAAAAAGAAATTACAGGACAAAATAATAGTATACATATATTATAATAATTATTATTTTATTAATAAATTTATACGCGGTTCAAAATTTAAATCCAACATTTCTTTGAAATAGACATTGTAGCTGTAAACTCGACTATACGTCAACTTTAATTTATCAACAATTTACTGCTTTAAATGTTGTGTTTTGATAAAACAGCGACTTTCACGCGAAACGAGATATTCTCTACTTAAAAAAAAGACGTAATATTGGTCGTTTATGCCTCTCAATACTGAAAATAGCTGCTATATTTTCAAAACTTTTTTTGTTAATAACTTGTAACAAATAACGACCGCCGGCTAAAAACTTCTGAAGGTCACTCAAGAGGGTGACCTTGACAACATATGTCAAGGTCAAGGTCATTGGCAGGTGAGGTCTTTTTATGCATAATTACCCATGGCAAATATGACAAATAATGATGTGATCTCAAAATACGTAAAATAGCATCACCTTGTACATGTGTAATATTATGTGTGAGAAAAACATTTTGGAAAGCAGACGTAAATAAGTACTGAGGACTAGTAATTGATCTATTATCTGAGTTAGCTAATTCTGATTCTAGATCTGAGTTAACATCTAATTCTGATTTTAGATCTGAGTTGACAATTAATTCTGATTCTTCCTCTATTATTGGATGTGCCATTATTGAAGAATTGTCTTCATGTGCGAAATTATTGGTTTCAGACAATATTTCTGATATTTGAAAATTACATTTTGGTATCACATTAGATTTTTTTTACTAAAATTTTTGGATTTTTTTTTAATTTTAAAAATGCTTTTTGTCTTTTCTTTTGTGATATATTTTTATGAATAAAACTCTTACTATATTTTAACTTATTTAAAGTTGCCATTTTTTATATACATATACATAAAAACTTATTACCATTAATTTTGTTAACTGCGCACATTTGTTAATTATTTATTTAATGTGTCTTTAACTGAACAGTTCAACTAAAGATAAAGTTATTGAACTGTATAAAATCCTGACTGTCTACTCACAATCAGTAGAATTTATTTCCTGTGACAATGCTGTAACATAACCGAATTCTACAATAAACATAAACTTTGTAAGCAATTTATAACCAATTGAGCAGCAAATGAGAAATAAAATCACACACATGCGTATGTGCATATGCATGTTATTACTAGTCAGATCGATACATCTTTCATACATTATCAGTGAAATACAGATATAAAATGCTTGATATAATAAAATATATAATATATAAAAAAAAGATGTTACAAGGTTTTTAAAATTACATTAAATCTAAATGTTTTTTATCACATTTCTAAATTGGTATAAAAATATATATTTGTATTTTTTAAATATACTTTAAAGCCAAATTTATAAGTACGACTGTTGTTTGGAACTGATTGACGTTCCCGCCGAGATTATGGTTACGCCATACTAGCGGCACCCCTGAGAAGGATCGACAGCGCCGATATTAATTGATGGCGCCACCAACAGATGGCTCTTGCCGCATAAAAACGAGACACACGTCGATTCCCGCGCTCTTGTCCGTTGACCGCCGAACAGTTAACATCGTAGCAAAAATTGTACGAAGCATCACGAGCAATAAACGAAAGTATTATTCCCAAAAAAGCGAGTAATTCAATATCACGAACATGGTCCTTCGAGCCGGATAAGCTGGATAAGGGCCGGTCTACAATGGGTGTTGTAAGTCGTGAGTCGTAAGAATTGACCAATCACAATCCATTATTCTCCTTGCGGTCGAAGAATAATGAACTGTGATTGACCAATTCTTACGACTTACGACTTACAACACCCATTGTAGACCGGGTCTAAGTCTCACGTAAAGGTATCAACGACAAGAGCAAAGTATAAGCAAAGCATAATCACAGTATAACCACAAAAAAAAACGAGCGCATTACAGCGCAACGAGGTGAGTCTCCATCTTTCCTTTCCCCCTCATTCCTCGTGCGATATCATTCGTTACAATGTCGATGCAGGCATTGAAGGCTCTTAAAGCAAAGCGAGCATCCGTAAAATCACAATGCACGCGTGCTCGAAACGCGATTGATGCTATAGATCCACACGAAGTGGATATCGCGTACGTAAAACAGCGGAACAACGATTCGCTGAATATTGGAATCAATTCAACGATATCCAAGCGCAAATAGACGAGTTATTAGAATTGGCGGAAGATTTAGATGGTATCGAAAAAGCCAATCTCCAGGACCCCTATTCTGTAACTCGTAACGACAGTGTCGGTATCGTTATGTCGTCGTTGCGCAGCTTTTTTTCCATATAGTATACCTGCGCAACGACAACGTAACGATACCGACACTGTCGTTACGAGTTACAGAATAGGGGTCCAGGCCGAGCAAAAACAAGAATGCATAAATTTCGAGGAGAGTTATTTCAGTACAGCGAGCAATATCGAACGTTTATTATC